CGATTTCCATCCTCAGTTCTTCCTGATGTCTCTCTGAGGACAGGAGGCGCTAACGTCTGGGAACACATGCCCATCCTGTGTCTTCACAGTGCTCTGCGTATACTTTCCAAAACTGCCAGTGTCATTTAACTACCTCCTGTCACCTTCGAGACAAGTGTCAGGAAAACTATTTTTGTTCTCCCTGATTAATGCTTCTAGGCATGAGAAATCTAGCACTATTTGCGTAGGGAGGTGCACTGGGTAGAATGGTGCCCCCACACTCCGCCAAGTCCCACCCAGGCAGAGTCTCTGAAAGTAGTTCACTTGGGAAGAAGGTCTTTGCTAATATAACGAAGACACGATGGAGTGATGCTGGAGTCGTGCGAGCCCAAATCCAATGACAGGCGTCCTCGGAGCAGGGAGGACACATCCCTATGTGCCCAGAGGAGGAGGCCCTGGGAGCAGGGAGGTGGGGATCTGAATGACTCAGCCTCCAGCTAAGTATACTTCAGGTACCAGCAGCCACCGGGGACTGGAGGAGGCAGGGAGGACAAGGAGGGGACACGGTTCTGCCATCACCTCGACGTGGACCGGGCCTCGCTGAGCCCCGTGTGTGTGGCACTTTCATCACAGCAGCCCCAGGAAGCCAGCACGGAAGGGCGCTGGGCCTGGGGGCCAGGAGGCTCGGCGGGGACTCAGGAGGCCAAGGGTCCTCAGGGTCCAACATTGGCACTGGAGACGGCTCGGCCCCTCTGGTGCACCTGGCCCGTCCCAGGTATCTCACCAGGGTGCAGGACACGCGTGCTAGGTGTGTTTGCTTCTGACCAGGGCCTGTGTCCTCACTGCAGGGCCTCTGGAGGACGCCAGGGCGTGCCGGGCACAAGTGTCTCTGTCTCCTGTGCCTAGATGACTGCAGTGCTGGCATTTTCTCCACCTAGACATCGGGGTGCACCACCCCCCACTTAACTTTAACAAGCCATTTCCTGTCTGCCTTCATTTCCACATCTCTAAATGGGGCACGATAGTTCTTATTTCAAGATATTTTTGTGCCAAGTAGAAGAATTATATTCTTCTTGTAAGAAGCTTCTACTAAGAGCTTCATTTTTAAGCTCTTAGAAAAGTACCTGGCACGCCAAAGTACTATCGATGGAGTGTGAGTCAGCTTCTGTTACTGTAATAAAAGTGCCCAAGAGGGTTAACTTATGAAGAAACAAGGTTTATTTTAGTTCATGGTTTTAAGGGTTCCAGGGCACAATCAGGAAAACTTTTTGCTTTTAGACCTCTGCTGGGGAACAGCACATTGTGGCAGGATGTGTGGCAGAGGCGGCCAGAAATAAAAAAGAGGAGGGTCCATGGTCCCACGCAGCTCCAAGGACCTGCCCCCAATGACCTAAAGAGCTCTAGGCCCTCCCTGTTCCACCACCTCCTAAGGGCACCAACCTTCAACACTGGGCCCTTTGGGAGACCTTTAAGACCCAGACTGTCACCTTTGGGTTATATGGTTCTGGGGGGCCTTGTTCCAGTCCTCAGTCTTGCTAACCCCTTGAGCACCATTGCCCTCGCTCCCTGGTTAAATGAAGTGAAAATCCCCAAGTGTCTTTCCAGCAGGTACACAGAGCAGCTCCTTCCAACCAACTTGTCATCTCCCGTACTTATCAACCCTGCTCCATGTGCCAACAGATCCAGGAAGCTACAGCTCAGGCTTCTCAAAGCCCAGATGGGTCCTAATTTGTTACGTTGGAGGAGAAAAAAAAAAAAAAAGAAAGAAAACTGCGTTCCCTGGCAGATGCACTGGGACTGTCTTATTAGTCACATTTACCACCTTCTTGCTTTTCACATTAAGAGAACTTTTTTTTTGCAAGCTCTCTAGATCTTGATTATGAAACACAAAGCAGAACGCTGAGGCAGGGATTTCCCACCTGGCCCAAGGCACCACCTGACTGTCAGGGCCTGGACTCTGCAAGGAATCCGGTTAGTTCCCTGTTGTGGGGAGGAGCCTGGTGGATGCGAACAGCGTTCCCCAAAGTTCCCTCACTTACTCTGAGATACACAGCCAAGGCTGTGCACATGGCTGCCCCAGGCCAGACTCCATTTCCCAGCCTGCTCTGGGGCACAGTGGGGTCACACGACTAAGTGCAGTCCACGATGCCCCCTGCTGGACTGACTGAGTGGAAGCCACAGGGACCACTTTTTTTTTTTTCAGTACTGGGAATCAAACCCCAGGCCTCCTCACTGAGATACATTACCAGTGCTTTTTATTTCTTTATTTTATTGTTATTTTATTTTTGGTCCTGGGGAGCAAACTCAGGTCCTTGCATCTGCAAAGCAGGTGCAGCACTGACCTAAATCCCTGGCTCTTTATTTTGAACCAGGGTCTTATTAAATCATTATGTTACACGGGTTGGGCTCAAACTTGTAATCCTCCTGCCTCAGCCTCCCAGCATGTAGGCACCACTTCTGAATCTGGGTCTTACGATGTCGAGCTCTTTATCTTCCTATGAACTGCAACCGTACAGTGACTGCACAGAATCATCACACACACACACACACACACACACACACAGGCCCCCAAACAGGGTTCAAACACAGCAGCAACTCCTGCATTACATGGGGAGCCAGTTTGGAGCTGTGTCTTGTAGGAGCCTCTCTTGCTCTGTGGTGCCCTTGGGATCCTGCCCCAACCAGCTGCACTGGGACTCCTCTGCCCCTTGTGAACAGCCTGTCCTGTGGCGTTCAGGGACGGCAGAAGGGGCCCAAGAGTGCCAGGCCTGGGTGTGCCTCCTGTGACAGTGGCTGCCACACTCCCTCTGCACAGGGCCCAGCTAGGAAATGCATGTCCACCTGAGCCCAGGTGTGTCCCCACCCCATGTGCCTGTAGCCCGAGGCCCCATGGGAAGGGGCCATCCTGGCCACACTGGGGTCCTCGCCTCTGCATCAGAGCTGAGCGCGGGGCTGCATCAAGCAGACCGTGGCCCAGAAGGGCCTCTGGGTTCGTTCTCCAACCGAACACAGAAAAGCAGCAACGCCTGCCCCGCGGTGAGTCACACCAGTGTCCACGCAGCCTCTGGGACGCCCCTCGACACCCTGGAAGCTTGTGTCTGTCACCTGTTGGGTCTTCTGCTCTCACAGAAAGCCAGCGGCGGCAGGGAAATATGGCAGGGAGCAGAAATGTGGGCAGAGAGGGTGCTGGCCTGAGCCCTGGGGCAGGAGGACCTGGGTGCCTCCCCCACATCCCCAAGGAAGGGGTTTACTCTCCTGCTGATCCCAATTCTGTCCGACCCGGCGAGGATCCACTTCCGTTTCCTGTCCTAGTCGGCTTTCACGTTGCTGGGCACAGCACCGGACACCCACCGCCTGCAGCACCCGTGGTTGGCAGCATCCAAGGCAGGGGCAGCAAGACCACTAAGCTCATGGAACAGAACAGCACAGGGAGGAAGGGTGAGGGAGCAGCGGTCCGGGGCCACCAACGCACCCAGCAGCCGTCCCACCTGTCCCCAGGGCAGACCTCAAAGCCAGTCAGATCCGATCCCCTCCACCTAACCACAGCCAGGGAGCCAACTCTGCAGAGCTGCTCCAAGATCGAGGCTTTCCTTTGGAACTCACCCCATCTTCCCACACTAAGCTCAACAGCCTCGGGCCGACAAGCGTTTCAAGGACCTTTGGAAATGTTTGACTATGAAAACATTATTGGCTGCAAATTATGGAAGGAACAACGTCACACTTGCTACATGATTAATTTATACATTCATTCTTCACTAACTGCTAAATGAGTGCTCATAAAAAAAATCTCATGGCGTCTGAGGCTCATTTGGGAGTGAGATTTCCTCACACTGCAAGGATTCCTAATGCTAGCAATGGCCAAGAAATAAACAGCTGAGCAGAAGTTAAACAGGTGACCTGCAGCCCTGCCAGTATAAAAGCAAAATCACCAGCCTTGCCCAGCTGCCTGGCAGCTCCCGCCGGCCAAGGGGCTCATTGGAGTCACCCCTGCATCAGCCTTTTGAAGGTACCACAGACACGAGGATAAAAAGCCCACTTTCCCTACAGACAGATGAACAGGGTAGAAGCCAACAGAGTTAGGTTCAAACTGAGTGATTCGCTAGCTGATCTCAGGGACGAGGTCCTCTGACGTGTAGTACAGTGGGACAGACCACCCCTCACCTAAGACAAGGTCTCCAGGGGCAAATTTGCACCTTCTGAGTTTTCCAACCCTGCAAGTAAGGACTATTAAGCAGGTATTTTTATTTTTGTTTTTGATGCTGGGGATTGAACTTGGGTCCTTACGCTTGCAAGGCAGGCAGCAGAACCACTGAGCTAAATCCCTGGCCCCAGAACAGATATTTTTTTAACTTCATTCTTCTTGCTGTAACAAAATACCCAAGGCTGGGGGACTTTATAAAGAAAAGAGGTTTATTTAGCCCACGGTTCCTGAGGTGCAGGGTCAAGGTGCCTGTGCTAGCCGGACCATGGAAAGACACCCCGAGTCACACACCTGATGGGAAGCCAAGACACTGGGTCAGGCCAGCTCACGTGAGGCCCCTCCCGGAGCAGTGTGGCTGTGACCACTGGGAGGTCACAGGTCCCATCCCTGGCATCACAGCACCAAGGACCAAGTTTCCCACACAAATGGCATCCACGCCCCCACACCCATCTCCCTACAGACGGCGGGGTTCCTAATTTCCTCACCGCGGTCAGCATGTGTTTTTTAAGTGACTAATGGGAAATGTTCTTTGCCTCTTGATGTGCTACGTTCAGATGGGGGTCCTGGATGTGCGATCCTCCCCCGAGCCCCTGGCACCCAATTTTGGTCTGGCTGGACCCAAGGAGCAGCGGCTCAGGTCCCCCCGGGGCCGCACTCAGACACACCGCCCACCCCTGGGTCACCGCGTGGGGACCCACCCGCCCGCCGTCCGGTGCCCGGCCAGGTCCCCTCCACCAGGCAGGATGGACACGGGCATCACCTGGGCTGCACTGGCCACAGCCCATTTCCATGAAGAGGAAAACTCCAGCCACCCACGAGGTGTCACTGACAAGTTGTATTTGGTGCCCGGGTTGACAAAAGCGCTATAGTGACTTGAAAACACCATCTCTGAGTGGCCTCATTGTGAGAGCTTCGTTTTCACAGTTTCAGGGTGCTTCTCTGTGGAGCGAAGAAATCCGAAAGTCCTACCATGCCATTCTTCCTAGAGCTGCCAACCGGAAACGGACAAGGACACTGTCAGGGACTTCCTGTGCTGCGTTCAATACAATTTCTATAAAACTTAAAAGTGGCCACGCGTGGTCTCTCACCACTCATTCTGCCACCAGAAATAAGGAATTCTAGCTGGACGGGCGTGGTGGTACCCACTCGTAATGCCATCACTTGGGAGGCTGAGGCTGGAAGAGCCCTGAGTTCAAGGCCAGCCCGGGCTACTTAATGAGACACCGTCTCAAAAGAGAGAGGAAGAAAGGAGCAAGGGAGCTGTGACGCCCCCTGCTGGCCACAGCCCCAGAGACATCATTGTCATGGAGATGCTGACCACACCCCGACTTCCCCCGGTCACTGTCTCCTTCCACTGGTGACCATGAGAAATAATCGGGGGAGAAATGGGGTCCCCCAAGGGCTGTCCCACCCCTGCAGTCCAGGAGACTCAGGGAGCACCACACAGGCCACCACCAGGGTAGCAACTGAGGCCACTTTTGGGCAACAAGGACCTGGACTCAAGGGCAGATCCCAGAATAACCAGGAGTGTCTGAGGATCCCAGTGACCCTTATAAACCAGGCCAGCACAATACGAAAATGAGCCACACAGGGGAGGCTGAAAATACAAAAGAATCATGACAGGAAAAGGCCTATCCGCCAGGAATCCCCGCATATCCAACTTTCTTGCTGCTTTTCTGCAGCAGCTCTGGAGACCTCTCCCCTGGGTGTCTTTGGCTGTGTTCTCATGGCCTCAATCAACTCAAAACATTTCCCTTCACCGTCAGTTTGACTCTGGGCAACAGGCAGAAGTCACACAGCACCAACTCCAGTGTATGAGGCGGAGGAGGACGCGGTGTAACTGTTTAGGAGCTGCCTTTCTGTCCCGCACCGCTGGACCTTATCTTATTGTCACACATAAAGACGCTCACTAAAGAGGACTTCCAGAACTACTTCTAAAAGTGGCAGGAACAGTGGGGTGGGTGTTCCAAGCCAGCAGAAGGAGTTGGAGGGGATTCACAGCAATGCATCCTTCTAACTTTTTAAAATTGAAAACACTCACCAGGAAGAGGTTTTGATCACTCCTTACGGAACACGTCACATAACAGGTTCATCAAATCAAGGATTCTATTACCGGGGATTTGGCTCAGTGATTCTGCTGCCTGCACTTGTGTGCAAGGGCCTGAGTCCAGTTCTACCCTCCCCCCGTACCAAAAAAAAAAAAAAAAAA